AATTCATTTGATCATTTAACATTACCCTAATTATATTGCAAAAATGAATATTATAGACAAACTTCTTCTTTCTTCATAAAATAAAAAAAAGTACTATATAATCAATTACAGGTTAATTTTCCATTTATAACGTCGTATGTTAAAGATTAATAGGTACATGTTACCGATTTCAGTTTCTTATCTAGCTACAAATTAATATACAAAGATGAAGCTATAGTGTGTGCATATATTTTTGGCACTGCTAAAATCCAGTATCAAAGATAAAACAATCTGACTATCTTCTACTTGCTCTGAGAAATTATAATTGTGAATTATGGAAAATGTCTAAAATAGATAGGCCTTATTTATTATTACAATACTTAAATCTCATACTTGTTATCACAGCTTGTATAATGCGATCTTGATTGCATCAACTTTCATTAAGCCCAAGGATTTGACTATTCACAAAATAAAAGATTATTATAGCATAGATTTGATTTGTAATGCAACTTTATTTCATTTTAATTAAAACAATTCAGAGCAAGTAAAAGAAACCATTTGTTTAGAATATTCAAATCATTATTTAAATAAATGAACCATTCGAAACGTGCATCTTGAATAACCATTATTTTCTAAAAAGTAGTTTTATATTGTAGTTCATCATTATAGAAAGAATAAAAGTTTAAAAATTGTGCAACTTTGTTGTACACAGTCACATTATATCTTCAATAAAATTGGAAGAAATTATAATATAAAAAGCAATATTACCTAAAATATTGAATATTCATTGAAAATATTCTTTAACTAAACAATATATATCATAGAAAATTATATGTATCGTAATAAATTGGTCTAAGCAAGATGCTCCGTTTCATTTACTATTTTCAGCATAAATAATACATAATAATTATGTATTTAAAACCTCTCTTACATATCCACCGTGAATGTACTGGATGCAAGACTTACTTCAAAGCTGGGTCATGTATGTAATAATTAGAGAATCACTTTCCTTGAGAAAACTGTGTGCTGCTATAATGAAATCATTATAGTTAAAAGTAAAATACATAAGGAAGACTTTTACTTGGCTTAATAAAATTTAATCCATGAACAATATATTGTATTAATTTTGATTGTTCAATATATTTTTATAATGTACATTTTATGTACTTCGAATTAATAAGAAAATTATTCAATTTGATAAATAAAATTTAGATTAAAATAAATATTATTATATATATTTATGCAATGTATTTTCAATATATTCATCTTCACTTTTCATATTATATAATGTTTAAAATTAAAAAGAGGTCATGGAAAAAATCTTATTTTGCGAAATAAATCAGTCACCTTAGATATTACACGTTTTAAAATGCAAAATAATCAAAGAAGTTCATTTATTTCGTGCAAAAGTCCTAATAAATTCCTCATGGCTCAGTCAGTTAACTTGACTGTTTCTACCAGGTACTTTGTATAAAATTGAGTTATCTTTGTAACAATTCACATATGATAAGACTTTACAGATAAAAATTATTCATTGAATATCCACTTGGCGAGTATTTAACTCATTTTGTTATCTCTGATCAATTACTGCGTGATCAATAACATCAATGAGGAATACAATTGCTCTATATGAAATAAATTGCAGAATATTAGTAAAATGCATTTTATTTGACACAATAAACTGAAACTTATTTCTAGAAAAAATGAAGAATAAGAATCTCAATATTTATGTTTGTCATTAATACTGTATTTATAAAGAAATATCTTTAATTGCATTGCAGTTTTCATTTAACTGAGATTTATAAGTGAAATTTAAGAATAAAACTGTTTTTCATTATAGATTTTAAATCTATATGACAATATAAGTAAAGAATTAATTCAATATGAATGGTCGATCTATTCATATTATTTAATATTCCAAATTTTTATAAAAACTATATTAATTATAAAATTTAATTTTAATACAAATGATTTATATACAAATAATTCAGAGATAAATATCAACGAGATAAATAACATCATGACAATAAATGTTACAGCTTTTAAAATAATTTATCTTCGTAAAAATATTTCTACTTTTTACTGTCAATTTCATTAACAGAAACAATTTTATTCGCGATAATTTATATCATTTACATCATGATTTATATTATAAGGCTTTTACAGATAAAAAAAAAAAGTGAAAAACAATCATTATAAAATAGCATGCAATATTTTAACATTCCTCATTGATGTATGCATAAAATTATGGTACAGAAAATGGTTGTGCAATTTAACTAAAGCTATAATACATGTAGATTAACTACATACTAGACTCCTTAGTGGTAATAGTCTCGTTGGTATTATCAACTCGTATTAACGTCGATGAATTTAAAACAAGCGTCCTACTCAATGTAGCAACTCTTTCCATTACACAAGAAGCTGAAAGACGTGCTTCAGCATCATGATCCCAGCACTCTTCCATTGTATCACATATTGATTGTAGTCCCTTAAACAAGAATATCAAATTTAACAAAGATTGGTTATTTATGATTTTATATAAAATTGACTTACGGGATGTTTACGCCATGTTTCTAAAATGATTGGCCTTTCTTTTTTATGCACAACACTTTCTTGCATATCTTCCAAAGTGGGATGAAGACCTACTTCATCCTCAAATGGTAATCTATATTCCCCAATTGGTCCCTGAAGCAAATAGATATAACACAACTTAATAATCAGTAATACACGATTTGATAGATCAAAATATATATAAATAAGAGTTTACATCTTGCACTGTGCATCGCGAAGCTAATTCCCAGAGCACCAAACCACAGGCGTACATGTCGATTCGTAAAAATGAATCTCTTGTGAAATTAATTGCTCCTTCTAAAACTTCTGGAGCCATATATCTTCTTGTTCCAACCTTCAAATAACAAAAGATGTAATGAACTTTATATGTTGTAATACGTATATACAAGAATTATGTACCTGTCCATGAGTATCTCCACAAGGTTTCCCAGGATGAAATATTAGTGCTAAACCAAAATCTGCTATACAAGCACTCATATCAGCTTTAAGCAAAACATTTTTTGACTTAAAATCTCTATGAGCCACAGCAGGTTTATATCCATCTGCTTTATTGGCTGGAATTTCTTCATGTAAGTGCATCAGGCCCCTAATAAATAATTTCAGTTTTCATTGGAAGAAAAGAACACAAAATATTGCTTAAAAATGTATTAAAATATTACCTTGCCATAGATTCTGCTATTCTACACATCTCAGGCCATGTAACAACATTTGCCTTCAAATAATCACACAATGAACCTTTCTCATGGTATGCAGTGATCAACCAGAATTCAGCTTGTAAATTATCACCCCTCTTTTCAACGCCTATGAAACGTAAGATATCTTCATGATCCATGTGAGCAAGTTTGAAAATTTCTTGTTCAGTTTGCCAGGATTGTTTATCTTGTATTGGAAATACTTTAACAGCAACAATCTCATTTTTCAACTGAGCTTTCCATACAGCTCCAAAACGACCACGAGCTTTTATTTCAAGCAATTGTATCGGGCGCAAACCCAAATTAGGAGAAGGTTGCGGTAATGGCAAAGGTTCTAGTGTTGGTACCTACAAAAAATTATGTTGTGATATGCACATAATAAAAATAATTTGTAGTGCAGCATGCAAACAAAAGATTTATAACAATTAGTAATTAAAAGATCTGTACATATGCCTTCCAAACCTCGTTGAAATATCCCGACTTCCGACGTCGGTAACACCAATATAAGAATGGCAATATAATAGCAAGTAAGAGCATAGGTATCGATATTGACAAAACAAGTGTTATTATTTGTTGCTCTGTATTCGGAACAGGTTCTGGTTCTGAAATACAATTATGTATACAATGGATATATAGTATATCTCAATTAATATAATAAATCACTTGCTTACCATGAAAGACAGAAGTTTGAACAGGTTTAGAAGAAGAAGTTGGGTGAGGCTCCCATGTGAAATTCTGATTGCACATATTACCATCGCAACAACAGAAAAATAATTCCTTTTTCCTTTCTGCACTGTTTTCAATACAATGTGGCTTGTCATAGCAATCATTGCTGTCCAGAAAGCATCCCTAAAATTAAAAATTCAATTAGAAATAAAAAGAATTGAAAAATAAATAATATAACATATAACTATAACGTAAATATTTCATGTTTACCTTTAATTTAATTATAGATTTCTTAGTAACATTGTCAATCTGCCACAGTACATAACAGTGATTTCTCTTTCCTGGATCATGTTGCCCACATTCTTCTCTTCCCGAGCATCCTTGCTGGGATTCTGCACACATCGTTTCATTATAAAATTCACAAACTGACGAACCTTTAACATCGTGTCCTAATGTAACTCCTAAAAATTAAAGATTTTTTTAATTACATATTTAGCATCGAAAAGGATTTATATAATAATAAGAAAATTGACAGTTGCAAAACCATATAAATAATATTAATTACGACTATTTGTATGTTTAATGTACAATGGCTAACAAAAAGATTCGATTTTCTTCCTTTTCTCTTTTCGATAACAAACAAAGATTTATGTTATTATATTATATTTGAACAACTTATATTTCATACTTCAAAAATTAATTTCGTGTTATTGCATTTGATCAAAAACCTTCTGTCAGTGATCGTAATAGAGAACGAAAAAAAAAATAAAAATCTGAATTGAAATACTCATTATTTAATCGAATACATATAGGATAATGAAGCACGTTTATAAACATAGAGCATATAATATTGGTCGTGAGAGCGCATGAGATTTTAGTAACAGTTCGAAATGCATTCGGCGAAAGAAAATGGTACATATCACGATCCGTAAAAGATCGCGCAGCGACGTTTTAACTTACGGATGCAACTGTCAAATGAATGATAATGGAACATGCAATTACCTAACAATCCTAGGGTGAGATATGGCAGTATCGTCGCATATAAGAACATCGTGAACAAATCATGAAAAGCATACCAGAAATTTTTCAAGTCTAAACGCACGGTTGTTCACGATCGTGGCTAAAGCGCCGGACTTTGGTGCGCAAGGTCCGGGATTCGCGCTTAGCCGTCACATCTGGGTTATTTCTACGTAATCCACACCATCGTGTACACCTCTTTCACAAATACAATCGTCTACGACACCATTTTTTCCCATTCGAGTATATCAAAGATCAAATTAAAAAAAAAGAAAAGAAAAGACAAAGAAACCGAGTCTATTAGCTATTAAGCAAATTGTAGTAATTCATCCACCAACACATCTCTCTTCCTCTCCTCTCCCACGTTTATGTCGGAACGCGCACACCATGGATTTATGTCATTATTTTCGCCACTTCGATTCTTGTTACTTCAAGATTGCTGTATCTAATTCGAAGAATGAACAAACAAATTTTTAAGGTTCGAGCGTTGGATGTAACACAGTTCAAAAAAATTGACAAAATCAACTAAGCTTGAGAGGATATAAAGCTACATGCCAGATGCATCCCAGATTAATCATAAACTAATGGATCGCAATAGAAGTACTACGCTAATAGAAAGTTGGTGTGTTCATTTGCAATTTATATTTTATTTTTTCTTATATTTTCTCCTTTAAGTTCGATACCTCGTGAAACAGGAAATGTATAAAATAGAGATACGAACTTTTTAATATTTTATTTAATGTAAATTATGAAAAAAAAGAAAATCTGTAAAATCTATAAAATATATTTTAAAAATTTTTATATTGTAATGCTGTATTAAAACAACAATTATTACGTATATTTATATATTACGTATTATGTATATTGTTATATTATAAAATTATTTTAAAATTTATAAAATCTTAGTCGAGGTATATACTTCGTCTGTGGCATCAGTTTTGGAACACAACCAGCAGTATATCGACAATTCGTAATCTCGTTTTCAAGTATATAGCTGCTCTTCATATTTTGTTTGTTAGTGACCGATGTACGATTTGGAATGCATTTTTAAATTACAACCAAGAATCGTCAGTGAATGGTAGTTCATGAATTTGTCTTCTTCTAACTTAAGACAGTCAAGAACTACATTCAGCGTCGATGATTCGCATGAGAGACTTCGGTACAGAACAGTGTTAACATTTGCGGCATATTTTTGAGGTTAGATGAAGGGTAGTCGCACAGTAATTTGATAACCATATCGCTAATTGAAGTTTTTTTTATAAAGTGTCATAACAACGCTTAACATTTTCCTTTGATAAAAAGTGAACGAAACTTAAAGAAGAAACAACAGATTTAAATGACAAATAATTATGGCAACGTCTGGTTCTGATAAAAAGCCAAGCGTAATAATTTTAGGAGGTAAGTATATACTATATATCGTGCGATAATATATAACGGAAATGATAAACTAAAAAAGATATTTTATCATTGAAACAGGATGCGGTTTCATAGGACGTAATCTTGTGGAATATCTACTGGATAACGATCTTGTGTCTTTTGTACGTGTCGTAGATAAAGTACCACCGCAAACTGCTTGGCTAAATGCTAAACACCAGCAGTTATTCAAGCATCCTTTGCTCGAATTTAAAAGCGCTAATTTAATCAATACAGGTAATTTAAATTCTGATGAGAATGCTTATCTATTTTTGACGAAACAATTGTGATAATTTTTTTTACCGAACGCGCACTTTATAATTAGCCTTTGGATTTTTGTTTGTAGCATCTTGTCAAAATGCATTTTTATCTGACAACCCAATTAATTTTGTAATCAACTGTGCTGGAGAAACAAAGAGCGGCCAGACAGATCCAGTGTACAAAGAAGGAATTTATAAACTGAGTATGAATTGTGCTCAACAAGCTGCTAAATTACAAGTTGACCATTATGTGGAAATATCTTCTGGTAATTTTAGTACTTCTGAAAAGGTACATGAACTTTGATATTTCCGTTTTAAATAATTTGTTACAAAAATTAAAGTGTAACATCTCAATAGAATCCTCTTAAAGAAGAAGATGCTGAAGAACCATGGACATTTGTTGCAAAATACAAGTTACAAGTAGAGAATGATTTAAAAAACATACCAAATTTAAATTATACAATAGTTAGACCAGCTACTGTATACGGCTGTGGTGATAGAAATGGATTAAGTAATAATTTCTAATCAAGAATGAACAAACTAATAAATTGAACTCTTTCCAAATGTTTTATGTATAAAAATTAATTTTCTATTCTAGCACCACGTTTAGTAGTTGGAGCTGTTTATAAACATTTGGGAGAAATGATGAAGTTACTTTGGGGACCAGATCTTCACATGAACACAGTTCATGTGAGAGATGTAGCCAGAGCTATTTGGCATATAGTAAATAGGCCAGAAACTATAGGCCAAACATATAATATCGTTGATGATGGTGACTCAACTCAAGGATCAATCAGTGCTATAGTTTCAGAATTATTTAATATCAATCACGATTATTGGGGTATTGCACTATCTACACTAGCTAAAGTATGGAAGAAAATTTTTTTCTATTATATTCTTCTCTTTTTATATGTATAATATGTGTGTGTGTATGTATAAATGTATATTTGCACATATCACATACTTATTTTTTCCTCAATATAAAAGAAAGTAGTAAATTCATATATATAATAGTAAATTCATACATATTATTCTAAAGAGCTTATACAACTATTAATAAATTTTAATATATGTAATGTAAATTTTAGATGCAAGTTAAAAACATTATTTTGTTTATATATTTTAGACAGATATGAATTCTGTTGTTGAAGAAGTAAATGACAAACATATGGGACCTTGGGCAGAAGCTTGCAATAAAGACGGAGTGGAAAATAGTCCTTTGTCTCCATACATAGATCAAGAACTTCTTTACAATAAGCACTTATATCTGCAAGTAGGAAAATTATCAAATATTGGTTTCAATTACCTTTATCCAAAACTTACAAAAGATGGTTTAAAAGAGGTAAACAATTTTTTAAATAACTAAAAGAATAACTAAATTCTGATGAGAAAAGTATTATTTTATTTATTTATAGGTTCTTGATGATTATGTAAATATGAAAATATTTCCACATTCCTTGGTTTTATGAATTTTAGCAATACAAACTGCCAAGATCAAATAATGGAGAAGCTTACAATAATTTGTATGAAGTAACTTTTGGAGCGTTTCACCTTGTGCCTAGTAATCTATGCAAGTTACATACTCTATTGTATGTTACATACTTTATTCGTATTTTATCTTCTAACAAATATCGTTAGTTGAATTTATAAAAAAATACAGATGGAATATGAAGATTTCATGTATAAGCCTATTGCAAATGTGATAAACTAGGAATTAATGTACTTAATTTTATTATAGTTTGAAGTATACAATTTTTGCACCTTAGGATTGCTAGTCAAGTTTTGACATAGTTAAAAAATATTGAAGAACAAATGTAAAACTAGATATTTACGTACCTTAACATGATATATTATAGCACGTAATGTTATTTGGATAAATATTTTAGAGAATTATGTGCATCGCCAAAATGCTTTTTATACTGAATTTTTCAAGACTGGGAATATAAATAAAAACTGTTAAAACAGTTAATGAGATTTATAGGATTGAAGGATTTTATGTTTTTGTTTCTACTGCATTCCACTTAACATGTATCTTCCGAAAGCTGTGACTCGTAATTTAGAAATCTTTTTATTCCAAATAAATGATATCTTATGTTTATATAAATTTAGTATATTAGATATATTTAAATTATATAATGTATTAAATCAAGTACAAATAATATTGATTAAGCTAGAAAATATTTCTAAAACGCCAAACACAAAAAAATTAATAAAATAGACTTACTTTTTACATAAGATAATATAAAAAAGCGGCAATAACTGCCAAATAAAATTAATAGCATAACTCTTCGGAAGCAATTGTTATTAATTCTTTGATAATAAAGTTATTCATTTACGCATTTGCTTATTTTTCCTATATTTCAATATTTTTTACAAAATATTTTCTTAGGGTTGGGTATATTATTTTTAATATATAGTTTAACACAACCAACATCGATACACTGTCTTAATTTTATTTCAATCATTGGTTACAACAAGATACTGCATCAGAAGGGTCAACAATATCATTAAATATTTTGTGTATCGTTTTAATACTTTAAACAATAAGATTATAATTTGATGTAGTTCATTATACATAATATATTAAAATATATACTTTTAATATTTTTTGCAGATAATATATACACAATTGTAGATAAAAATATTTACAAACTAACTGCACCCTAAAAAACAGTATAATCATAGCAATAGATTAGTTGTATATGTTTCAGTAAAAAAAATGATAAGGGTTTATGAAAAAATAAATTAATAAAGTTTTCTCAATGTACAATAATTGCTATAATTAACGGCAATGATACAAACATCAAATTTCTTTTACCAGGTTTGCTTTTTCATATATATCTTATATAAAATAAAGTATAATGTCTTGGCTATATCTACTCACTGTATGTGAGAATAAATTTTCTGAGGTAAATTGTGTAAATCTAAATTATAGTGCTGTGTAATAGGTACTGAGGTTAAGTTAAAATTAAGTAATATAAAATACCTACCCTTTGTAAAGGGTGGCAATTACGGAGGTATATTTACTTGACTAGAGTCGCCGTACAACATAATTAATACTTTATCTGTGTATGGCCAATACAAATTGATACTTCGTAAAAAGAACTATTGCAAATGAAATGAAATAATACTATTTTTTTATCATTTAGTAAAAATGCAAATTTAAATATGATGGAAAGTCAAATTTAATGTATAAATGACGAAAGTAACATGAGCAATATTTTATGCACTTAACTGAAATATCGCTTAACGTAATACAACAGAGGAATAGATTATATTTCTAGATCAACGCATATAATAATTTATAAGACAAACAAATATTTTTTAAAAATCTTGCAATCAAAATAGCCTCAATTCCAATATTTTTCTTTTACATATATCGTATTCTAAATATAACATTTACGATACTTGATATTTTCTATCTGTAGCCTAAAGATAATAATGTTTATTGCTTTGTACTTCAATATTGTGTAATTAACTTTTGAAACAAATAAAAACATTCAGATAACAGCACGGCGACTCTATTTTTTGCTTTTTCTTTTTTGCAAAGTTTGAAACTTATCACATCACGTAATTAATTGAAATTATTACGATACCAATTCAACACCATTATTTCAATTCATTTAGCGAATTTGTCTTATAAACTGGAAACATTTTATATAAGGTACAAATTAACGCAAATATTTTAACGCGAATAACAGACAAAACAATATCTCGCTTAAAAAATACAGTACATTATGCTGCTAAAAAGTAAAAATAATCAAAATATTACCAACATTGATTAAGTTTTGTATACCATACAGTCAAAACAGCTTTTAAAATGATAAAGGCATAATATTTGCCTTTATGGAATATTTTGTTGTTATATTAATTATTATATCTCTTTTCATTATCAATGCTTTTGATCTATCATTCTTTTTTTGCTTAAAAATAATATCTTTTCCTATATAATTTTTTTTGTCCTTTTTTTTTTAAATTCCGTTAATGTTAGAAAATTGTACAAGCTTAATAATTAACATATACATACAGTGCAAAAAATTTTAATAGTTTTGATGCAGAAAGAAAAATTCATGAGCGTTCAGTTACTAGTTGCCTACTATTATATATCAATTCTTGTTTCTTATTTAATAAGAGTAACAAATACTTTCAACAAATATAAAAGTATACTACTATATGTCAGTAACATAAAATGTAACAGGTCGTGTTAAATATGATAACAAATGGAAAACAAATCAGTTAAATAAAAATCACAAAACAAATATTCTCTTTGTGAAATGTGTTTCTATGTTTCATAACAAACATAATTTGTTGTAAAACTGTCGAGAATAAATAGCTACAATAGTTTGTCTTCATGAAATTGAGATTCTAATAATCGTGATCGTAGAATATGTTACAAATTTCATAAATCATTCAAATGAAGTTACTTATTTTCATAAAACTGCAATCAGGAATTTTTTTAATAATCCACTAATACCGAGTTTTGATAAAAATAGATAAATTATGAGTTACGTTCAAAAAAGTTTAGTTATAGAATATACAATATAAAAAATCTCTATTAATAGCAACATTATTTCAACACAAGGCAGAATAATTTTTTCAAAAATGACTTTAAATTATATGTTTAACAAATTATCATGTACAAAGATGTAAAACTCTGTATAATAAATATATGGTAAAATCTCTAGCATGTGCAGATTGAATTAATTCTATTTTTACATGATTTCATACTGTGCTTGTAGTGACTATGTTATTGCATAAATTCAGTGTAATGTGATCATTTAAAATAGTACTGAATGTAAAATGTAATAAATAACAATTAATGGAGGTACAATAATAACATGACATATCTACGTCTCACTCTAAAAGATATAGCTTAGACTATCAGGTACTGTGTTGGGTTTTTCTGTCATGGTAACATGCACCAGTCTGGAATATGTTAATAGTTTTCTTTCGCATTTTTTACTTTTTGCTTTTGTATGATGTAGTTAACTTTAAATATCTTGTACAACATAAGAATTATCTTTATCATGTGAACAGGAAAAAATATATATATTATACATTTCCAATGATTAAATTAAAAAAATTTTTTTTAGATTTTTTTATATATATTATAAAATGCTGTTTTTTAAAAATTTTATTGTTATCTTTTCCTGTTCTTAAATATTTCAATAGTATATAATACAATTATCAAACTTGTAGTATAAAAAAGGTGTTAAATGCTGTTAAATTATATAATATGGACATTTCAATTACTCTTTTTAAAAATGTTTGACAATGTCTTATTTTTCAATAGAATAAATATTTGCCAAAATTTTTAATGCTATATGTATAGTTATTTGTAATAAAAGGAAAATCTAGACTATACTTTTAATACATAAAATCTGATTAGTACTTTTCTTAATTTCTTAAAACCTAAGAACATTTTTTTGTTAATTTAAATTTAATTAATGGAAAAAAATTAAGATTTTGGAATGATCAGTACTATTGCTCTCTATAAAAGCAATATATATTATGAAATAGATTAGGCCTTACCCGTAATTTGGATATTTAATAATTTTGTCTTCTAATGTGAAGGAATGCATTATTTACTTTTTCACTATTATTCGAAACATAATATTTTATGAACATACTCATAATTAACAAGCACCCTATTTTCAGGCGCATTAAGAATTTTCGTATTATCCCATTTAATTTTCATTTTTATAGCTGTCATCTCGGTATATATATGAGCAAGTTATCTAATGAATATTATTAAGTATCATTTGCATGGTGTATCTGTGCCACAGTATTATTTCATATAAAATGAAGTCTAGAAATTACTACATTCCTTGTCGATTCTGCTAATGCGGAAATACTGTGTTGATAATAATAACTTGCTTTGAATTATGTACAAAATAATAGTTTAAGTGTCCAGATTCAACGCACTTTCAAAACACTATTATTTACATTAATCATATATGCATTAGTATTTTCATTTACAAGTTATGTCGTGTTAAACTTGTAAAATACAGTAACTTGCATTGCTTTTAACTTCCTTGAGAATTCTGTTCTTGTAATTCATACATACGTAAGTATATACTGTATGTATACATACAGTATATGTCTGTATATATACAAGTTGCAATTAAATGATTCGAGTTGCACGAAAACTTTTACATCCTACCTGTTGCACGAGAGCATAGGAGGAAAATATGAACACTCAGATGTATTGCCTAATGGTTTCATCCATTTGGTCCAAGTGCCGGAACAGATATACACATAGATTTTGGTAAGGACGTATCTCCATCTGGACAACCAGAATTGTTATTTAAACTGCTATTGCTACTGCCTAAAGTACAATTGACCACTGTAAGCTGCGTGCCATCTAGATCTTGTTCTGGTTCTTGTTCTTGCTTTTGTGTACTCAAGACAACACTGTCTCTTGTTTTGTACTATATTTCAAAATATCTATTAGTTTTGTTTAATAAATATTTTATTATTTATTATTTAATAATTAAATAATAAATAATAAAATTATTTAATCATTTTGTATAATTTAAAATGAAAACTGTCTATACCTGAGAATTTTTTGTTACATGAATATCTTTCGGTTCACCGTTGATTTCCCATGATGGTAATAAAGGCTCTTTCACACAAGACTCAAGAATTCCATTAGATTTGCCACCCTATAGTGAGATATTTTCATAAAATTTTTCATTATAAATATAGACTTATATTTATGTGCATTACAAACACATGTTTACGTACTTTCGTATCCAAATGTGGATTAGTTGTGATTGGAGAAGTAGGACAAAGAACAGCAAGTTCAATTTCATTAGGTGTCACTCTAGTATTCATCTGTTGACTCACTGATGTAGAAGACTGATCCGTGCAACATCTATTTCCATTCCGAATCGAAGTACGACCTTTTGTAGATTGCGCAGTTTCTCTCAAAATACGCGCATTTTCACATTTTTTTCGACAATATATACTGCATAAGCAAATGGTAATAAATCCAATACTTATGCTTACACCAAGAATTACACCTAAAGTAGGTAAATATAAAATAGTTATATCACTCAATTTTATCATTTCAATTAACTTGTTATATAATTTAAACAAATAAATTTGTTTACCAAGACTTTGATCAGGTTTTGTATTTTGTGGTGGTTTTTGTTCATCTGGTGGACTTGGTACTTTTACCGAACCGCCAGTAATAATGATTATAGGATCTGACGGTTTACCATAACCGGCCTTTGTTGTAGCTTGTACCATAACAAAATACCGTTTTCCTGGAGTTAAACCAGGTAAAGTTGTCGAAGTTTTATTACCAGGTACCGTCACATTTCTCCATGTTGTAGCTGAATCCATTAAGTCCATGGTATATATAACGAAATAATTTTGTATTATACCATTTATATTACTTGGTTCCTTCCATGCAATTCGTACTTTTGTATTATTTATTAAAAACCATTGTACTTCTTCTACTTTGCCAGGAACTGAAATTAATGTTTAAGTTACTATTTGTAATATAAATGTACAAATGAATTCAATGTATTTTGACACTTACTATCTTCATTCGTATAACATTCTACAGATTCGCTATAAAAATTGCTTTGGTTTGTATTATTTTGAATGGCTCTTACTTTAAATTGATATAATGTAAATGGTTTGAGTTTATCAATACTTGCTTTCGTATCGTTCCTGTCGAAATATGTTAAACAGTAAAAATATGTTAAAGATATTTAGTGCATTGATGTAAATTAAAATTTATAAAAAATTAATCTGTATTACGTACAATATAGAACATTTAGGGCCATCTGAATTTACGACATGAATTGCGTGATAACATAATTCAAAAGAGCTCACTTCATGAACGCCATTTAAGGACCACGTAACATTTATAGAAGTAGGGGAAACAGGAATTGCTTCCAAGGCCATTGGTACATTATCTGATTGATAAATAAAAATGATATATATAATTATTTCATTTATGTTATAACAAAATTTATATTGATAATGAACTTACTTGTATTAGGCTGAATAGTCTCAATTTGTTTTGTTAAACAGCCTGTTGTTTTATTAAAACTTATCATACATAAGCCCATTGTATAAGAAACATTTACATCTAAATAAGAGAAAAGATAATTAAGAAAAATCATAATACAATAATTTTTTAGAAATGATTGTGACCAATATTTACCAAGATTAGTAAATACATATTCGGTAACATTTTGTGGTAAAAAAATAGTTCCTAATTTATGTCCATTTTGATTCTCATAATAAATTTGCCAAAGATCAAATTCCGATTCAATTCTGTTATTTTCTTTAACATTTATTTTCCATTTCATCTACAAAAAAATTTATTTCAATATTATAAAACATTAAAGAAATTTAATTAAAAAATCTGTATACTAACCTTCACAATTGAAGCATTTACCATTAATACTTGTACGTCCACAACATTTTTGATAATAAATTGATTAGGTTCAACAGATGGCATGGTTACAGTAGTCCATTCCAATTGTGATTCGCTTATGTTAGGCCAACCTTGTTTTGTTCTGGCTAATACTCGTAGATCGTACTGTGCTCCAGGTGTTAAATCTTTAAAAATATGATTAATAATTTTCAAGCAACAAAATTGATTATATAGAAGAGAAAAAATTACATACCAGAAAATACATAAGATTCCACGTCGGCGGGTAAATGAAGAACCCGAGAAGATGGATGTTCATGCAGTCTCCACTGTAATTTATATTGTACCACAACACCACGCGACTCCTTTTTGGATAACGGCTCCCATGATACATTTAACTTTGTACTACTAAGTATATTCACGTTTACTTTTGGTGCACCTTTAGGAACTGAATAAAAGAAAGATAAACGATATTTTTCGTTTTTTTGTTACACTTATGATAAATTTACATTAAAAAATAACGCACCACTTGGGGCTGTAGAACACAAAATGGTGGCTGATTGATCACTAGGACCATAATTGTTCCACACTCGTATGTAGAAGGAATAATTAGTATATGGTTCAAGAAGCTTTGTCACTTCTACTGACGTAGAATTACCCGGTTCAGGAGGGGAAACTTCTTCTTTGCCTCCTTCTTTACGAAAACAACATATGAAATATTTAAAAAATATTTTAAAACTTTTAACTAATAACTTTAAAACTTTTAACTAATTATTATTATAATATTTCTATACATATTAAATTGCTCAAACTTACCTACGGGACTATAATGGACGGTATAAGCTTTAATACTGCTATGTGATAGAGACTTTGGTGGTTCCCAGGAAATAAAAATTTTAACGGGTGACAGAGCACGACATTTCAAAGAGGTAGGTGCAGCAGGACTGTTACGAGACGTGTTCACTTGAAGCCGACCTGCGGCCCAAATTTCTCCTGCCGAATTTACAGCAACACATTGATAAATACCAGAATCAGATGGAACTGTTGCTGATATTGCCAGTTCCATTTTATTAGATTCTTTTATATATATCGTCCTACGTCCTGTAAAAAGGTTTATACATGAGTATAATACATATGATATGAATATAAATAGATATTGCAATGACTCTACCATTAATTGTTATATTCAATGAATCTTTTAACCAATATATTTTAGGCACAGGTAACCCTTGTGCTTGACATTCAAATCTTGCAGTTCTCCCATTTGGACATACTTGATTTGTAGGTATTTTCACAAATGACGGTGGTATTAATATATCCACTGTTATATTCTAAAATATTTTTTGTTCCATAGTATTAAAATTATGGACAACCATGATTATATTTAATATCTTGTTATAACTTACTTGAATTTCCACATTATTTGTAACAAAGTTTTTTACAGAGCATACATAAACTCCTGCATCAGATGCACTCACATTTACTAATGACAATATACTAATACCAATACTAGAATTAAGCAAAATGCGAGGTTGTGCAACATTATGATTATCTAAAAATTTGTAAATCATTAAATTTGTATACTCTAAATATCATTTAAATTAAATTATTAATGTATGTATGTAAAATACCAATATAGCGAGGAATAAATGACCACGTTATAAGCGGTGGTGGATATCCAGATGCAGCACATATTAAACTAAGATTCGATCCATTTAACAACCAATGATTATATGAAATTTGTGGAAATAACAATGGTGGTATATACGATCCATTACCCTCTGGTCGTGAAATAACAGTTAATTTTGCTTCTTTACTTTTTTTGGTTTTCTTTAGGAATTCATTATTTACTATGCATCTATGGATATAGATAATATATATATAGTTTTCTCTTTACAATTTTTTTACTCGCACAAATACACACCTATATGAACCAGCATCTGATAATTTCGTTGCTTTTATATACAGAACACCTGGTGGTACCATTATATACTTATTACTGCAAATTAAACAATCTCAATTAATATGAAAAATTATTTCATTGTTAATTACTTACTTTAAATTACTCTGATTGGGCAACAATATTTTTTCATTATGTTGCCATGTGATATTAGGAGGAAAAGGAATACTATCTATTAAACAAGATAATCTTGCAATTTCACCTTCTTGTGCAGTTATATCTTCTGGTGATTTTTTAAATACATGGGCAAGTTCTAAATAAACATAATTATATATGTTGATGTCATTTATAAAATTAGATAGCTTAATAATAATATGTTAAACAGAAAACTTACCTGCTATGTGAATAAATGTAGGAGATGATCTTAAAAATCCTAAATTAGTACGTGTTACACAACGATATTCATCTTTGTAATAATCTTTGAAGTTAACTGTAGTAGCGTTTTTCTCTTTAAATTTCTGCACCATCTATCATAATAATAAAGTAAAAAATTTAGTTGATTTAATTTCAAGATAAATATCAGATTTTTGAATACATACCTTGTGTAAGTGAAGAGAACCATTTCTGAGAAGAGTACAACGTGCAATACCACATGGTGGTGCTGGTGCTCCATTGTATAACCAAGAAATATTTTGATTTGATCCACTTATACAAGTAAGTGTAACTCCTTTTTTCCCTAATATCACATGACCACTAGGTTGAATTTCTAACGTTATGCTTGAACCTTTGGTTGGACTAATGTTGAAGTTTTCTGATTTTGATAAATTTTTGTTAGGTAGACCAGTTCCAATTTCTTTGACACCTAAAATATAAAATGTAAAATACTATTTAAAAATTTGTTAAATTTTTACCTACTTTTTAAATAATATTTATGACAATATATTGAAGAATTGAACAATTTTTTAATATTAAAAACTATCACATTTAAAATCACAATCAACATCTTTCTTATGTCAAAATTATGAAGATGCGATTCAATATACTATACGATAGAATATAAAATAAATAAAATCCAAAATGCTTAAATAATGCTGCAGATAAAAAAATCGAGCTTATAATTGATTTAAAAAATAATCTCTGACGATTATAAAATCATTTCTACATTGTTAAATCACATTTACGGCTCGATTTATATAATTAAGAACAAAAGAAAAAAACAGATATTTCATTCCTTTACTTAAACCATATATAGATAAATACCTATAAAATTTTAAATCATCAAAATAAATCTATCATAATTCAATCACTCTTTTCCTAATAGAATGTACAAACATATTTAACTATTTGCTTGACAATAATTTATTTCCACACATGTCATAGTAATATAAACAATCATCAGAAGGAACGATTATTTTTCTCAAAATCGCTATGCATTCGAAGAAATGTTTAAATTTTGAGTTTGAGTCCTTTTGTCAATCAAATAATATACAGTCCGTGAAAAAAAAAGAAAAAAATATCAATATTATAATCATTGATAAATTATACGAACAAACGAACGAACGTTAAACGCATGGTCCAGCGTGTATCAGTTTGGCGAATATAAACAGATTAGATTGGGGAAGAGGAGGGAGACGCACCTGCGGCACAAGCGGGCTTTAGCACTTCTGTAAACAAGATGCTCAGTAAAAGTACTCGCGCCGCCATATATTCACACTCATTGGCACTAGTTTCACTGATAAATCTTAGCCGAAATACGCCGTCGATCTGGTAGACTTCCCTGCGAAATTCGTCGCCGCATGTTTGACATCGCCTGCAAGAGTTTTTGGCCGTTCCGTTCGCCGAACTCTTACCCCCCTTTCTGCTTCGCTCTGGCTTCTCACATTATCGTTAATGTTAATAATACGTCGTCACCGAAATCCCAAAGACGCCGACAATACCGAGAGTTGCACGGTCGTCGCGAATTATATTCGATTACTTTCGTTTGCATCAGCACGCGATTCATCCGTTTCTTGCCATTTTCTAACTCTCTAGTATCTCTGTTCATAATTTCTCTAGCGAGGGAATAACGTGCAAAATTCTTGCAATCCATAGCGCCATCTCGTACGTAGAAAGTTTTGAAGCAGGATGATACATATTTCGTTGCGCAACGTACATACTACGTTCTTGTCCAATCACTCTACGCGTTTTGACCAATAATTGTCAAGAACCGTAGATGACCATAGTTACGTAGAAAATGATCGATGATCACACACGCTTGTGTTGTATTGTGTTGTTGTGTTGTGTTGTAGCGTAGGATTTAAAAATACGCACTGTCTGCGTCAAATTAACATTATGTGATTATCTGATGTTCAATAAAATTTAAATCTAGCAAATTTGGAATAAAATTTGATAATTTTTATGTATAAAAAAAATACATAGTTTACGATACCATACAACAACAAGTATCTTGGTGTATACAAACGTTGATTTGTTAAAAAGGGAATACGTAACCTTCAAAATTTAAATTAAATATGGCGCGTCAAAGTGTTGATGCAGATTGCGAAAAAATGAATAATTTGTCAGACAATAAAAACATTGACTTAGATAATTGTAGAAAATTAATTAAATCGTACATCGATTTGGTAAAATTCCAAAATTCATCAAGTTTTTTTTAAAAGACTTTGACTTATTGCATTAGAAAATAATGATTTATTTACGATTATTGGTTTATTTACAGCATCTTTATAGTGCTGCTTTATTTTGGGCAGATAAAGTTGTTTCATTAAGTAACGAAGATCCTAAAGATGTATGTACTTTAGCACATTGTATGTATTTAATGAAACAATATCATAGAGCTGCTCATGTTATCAGAAGTCGTGGACTAGAAAAGGTAAACTTGATTTGTAAAGCTTTTGATAATATTGTAATATTCTCAATAATATATTTGTAAATAAATGCTAATAATGGTATACTAAATATTGATAGTAATCTACTTATATTAATCTGATATTATTTTATAGACAGACATACTGTGCCACTATTTAACAGTAAGAAGTTTATTAGAAGCAAAAGAATACAATGAAGCGTTACAAGTTATTAAAGAATCAGAAGTATATACAAATATAACACAGTCAGGTTTTGGAGATCGTGCAGATGCATTAGAAGACGCACCAAAAAATGTGATTAAGTATAAATAATGTTTATAATTTCTTTTAAATATTATTATTGTAATTTGATAAAATATTATTTTATAGATTGGTATGTATTTTATAATAGGTACAAAGTTCAATATTGTATGTGAAGGGAAGAATATACGAAGCTTTAGACAACAGAGCAGTAGCAACTGATTGTTATAAACAAGCTTTACATTGTGATGTGTATTCATATCAGGCATTTGAAGCATTAGTCCAAAACCAAATGTTGTCAGCTGCTGAAGGTAGTATTGAAGTGTATAAACTTCATATAAAAATGAAAATAATTATGATACATATAATTTGAATAGAAAAGGAACTTCTGGAATCTCTTCCCTTTGGTGAACAATGCACAGAAGCTGAAGCAGAGCTCTTACAACTATTGTATGAAAGTAAATTGAAAAAATATCAAGAGCCAAACACAAAGCAACCACTTGCAACATGTAGTGTTATGGGAGTTCTTGTCACAGATAGATTATTAGGTAATTTGGATATGGAAGTTACAGAAGCAGAGAGATTGTATTATAATTGTGATTATCATAAATGTTTCTCCCTTACAGAAAGGTAATACATACTTTTATGTATATAGTATAAATTTATATAATCTTATATAATTTCTATATTTTAGAATATTAAAAAAAGATCCATATCATAATTCATGCTTACCAGTACATATTGCTTGTTTAGTAGAACTAAAAAAAACTAATGGTAAATATATGTGCTTTCCTGTAAAAATAGAATGTACACTTGAAAACAAATTTTATACATTATATAATTATTTTTCAGCTTTATTTTATTTAGCCCATAAATTAGTTGATTTATATCCAGACATGGCCTTAGCATGGTTTGCAGTTGGATGTTACTATTATAGTCTAGGTATCATTTTTATTTCATAATTTTGAAATAATTTGTATTCTTATAAGATATATTGTATTATTTTGATAACAGGAAAAAGTGATCCAGCTCGAAGATATTTAGCAAAAGCCACAGCATTGGATAGATTATTTGGTCCAGCTTGGTTAGCTTATGGTCATTCCTTTGCAGTAGAAAATGAACATGATCAGGCAATGGCTGCTTATTTTAAGGCTTCTCAATTAATGAAAGGTTGTCACCTGCCACTTTTATACATTGGACTTGAATGCGGTTTAACGAATAATCTTAAATTGGCTGACAAGTTTTTCCAACAGGCTCAAGGAATAGCTCCGAATGATCCATTTGTTATACATGAAATGGGAGTTATATCTTTCTATAATTTAGAGTAAGTACTGTGACATTTATTTTAATATGCAATATGCAAAAAATATGTCCAAAATTCATTCTGCAACGTGATTAGTGTACTTCCACTCTTCCCTGGTTTTTGGAAATCTGCCTAACTTATCAGTTGTCGTTTCATCGAATACAGTTACAAAACTGCTGAACGGCAGTTTAAAGAAGCCATGAGAAGAATTCAAGGCGGACTAAAGGATGTTATTCTACCTAGTAAATGGGAGGCACTTCTAAATAATTTGGGTCATACTTGTAGAAAAATGAAGAAATATGGAGAGGCGCTAGAATATCATCAACAGGTTAAAAAATTTGAATTCAAATAGTAATCCGTTTTTACGAGCCATTGTATAAATTCCCTAATTCTCTAATGATTGCAGGCATTAATGTTAAATCCATTAAATGCGTCAACTTATGCAGCTGTAGGTTTCATTCATGCATTAATGGGAAATACACAAGAAGCTGTTGATGCTTTTCATCGAGCACTTGGACTTAGAAGAGATGATACTTTCACAACAACTATGTTAACTTATGTTATGGAACAACTTATAGAAGAATCACCTCCATATCCTGGTATATATACATATATAAAAAAAATTAATTTTATATATTATTGACTATAATATATTAATTAACTATGATATATTAAATGTACTTTTAGGTGCACCAGCTGATATTCCAAAGTATGAATATGCTGCAAATGAACATCAAGAGACAGACAATACAGAACCTGTAGAAAATGCAAATAATATAGCTGGAGCAGGAAGTCAAGATATTGATAAACTAAGAGTAAATTTATTTTCTGGATGGGGAGAAGATTCCAGTAAAGCTGAAGATAATACTTCTGATAAAGTGGAACGCAATTCTCGAGACATGGTTGTAAATTATTCCAATGATATTAGTTCCGAAGTTGAAATGTTGGATTCATCGACTGCTCATATAGAATAAAATGCACAAATCTTTTATATAATAAATAAAATTATATAGTAAAACAGTTGTTTTGTTTCAAAAATTCCTTTCTTATTCAAACAATTTTCCTTTATTATTTATTGTATCTATCTCTTTATTATGTACATGTATGTTTAAATAATTAGTATTTACTCACATAACCTGTCGTATTATTTTAAACAAAGATCATATTATATATAATAAAAATTTTTTAAAAATTTATAATTGTAATAGTTTTTATCAAGGACATTTAATATTCTTTAACCACCAACCAAATCTCTTTTCTCAAAAATTTTTATTTAGCAAGATATCAAATTTTGATTTGAAATATCACATGTTAAGTAATAAAATTTTCTATCTCATTGCATACATGAAATTTCACGAAGGGCGCATTCGCGAACTGCGCCGGTGGTTTCCAAGGATGGAACCAGCGAGTGTAAGGGGGAAAGGGAGGAACAGAGATCTTCAATTCAGTTTGCAGAGTGGAGCAATGTGGAGAAGAATGGGCGTTCCGTCTCCATCGTCGTTTCTGTATCGTCATTAAATCAAACCTAAAAAAGAAAGAAATTTTACTTTCAAAGAACCGACAAATTAATTATAAATGGACGATTCTGGGAGTTGAAATAATTAAAATATTATCCCCCGGCAAATAATCAAAAAACCCGGCGGGATTAAAATATTCCAAATTTTTTTATTATAATACGATAATTGTTGATTCAATAATTTATTAAAATACGTATATTTAATAGTTCGCTATTACTTAAATCGAGCAAAATTTTATTGAAAAAATTCATACACGATATTAAATACGCATAAATCGTTGGACCACGTTACGAGTTACCACTTTAAGTTCAGTGGAGAACAGCGAACAATTGAAAAATTCGTCGAGGCTCAATCAAAGATCGACATGCTTACATTAATGCAATTGGTAAGTTGTTATATTTCTTCAAAAAAATTCTGTATTCTTTTTTTTTTATTGTTTCATATTTATTTCCCTACGTTTTTATATTACTGTTTTAATTATACCTTACTTTTTTGTATGTACTTCATTTTTTGACTACTCATGCAGTCGATTGGTAACCTACTTTACAATTTCGTTATGGCTATGGTGTCGCTTCGAAAAGAAAATTTGTTATATAAATCATGGGTTGGTATATGGTGATAATTATAACGTAGAAGCTACATAGAATGTAGAACTGAATACGATGGAATGTCCTGCGTCCTCACTTGTAAACAAACACGCGAATCGTACGTTCAGCCGCAACGCGTCCACGTGCAAAACACGTTGCGTTTCATACGCTGATTTTCTTTCTCTTTCTCTCTATGTATATACATGTGTGTATTGCGCCTTTAACCCTTTGTTAATTATTTTGAAGATATCGAAGAAAATAATGAAAAATTTATTGCAAGTTAATTTCTCGTAAAAATCGTCTAATATCGATGTATACATCGCCTACAAAGATGCAAACATGTAAAACCTAGTGCAAGATGTATTAAGATGAAATGTACATATATTGTTTCAAATAGTTATATTAGTAAACCATGAATTTACTAGGCTAAATGAGAGAATATGATTTTTATAAAAAATTATAAACGTACATATATTTCCGTTTCTTACGTAACGTTCTTATAATATTTTAATTTCATCTTTCAATTCATAATTTGAATCTTTCTTAAGAAATATAGATTTCACTTTTCTGTTAATATATACATATACATGTACGTATACACATTATATATATATATATATATGTGTGTGTATGTATACAATATCTTTAGATATATATTTGACCACTTTAATAAAAACTATCGATCCCTGAGTGATACGATGAATCAAAGGGTTATAAAATCATAAGGATGTATATGTTACAATTTTAATTGATGTGAGACAAAATGATAATATTCGTGTTAATTATAAGCGTCCTTAGATCTAGTACGTCTTTGAACTTGACAAAGTTAAATTCTACGAAGTTTAGGATTCTTGTTGAACCTCTAGAATGCCTCGATATATTCCTTAGCCCTGCAAAATTTTTTTTTCCGAATTCCTCGAACGCAAACTGGGAGTGGCGTCCTTCAGGCTCCTGTTTTCGTTATTCTGTACCGAAAGCTCGGAGCATAGTTTGCTGATATCGTTCGTAGCGATGACTTCGAGGAATTCCGTGGTAGGTGATACGCATTAAATTTCACGATCTTTACATATGAACGGAACGTTTTTAGCAATCATTTTCAAATTCCCTCGTGTAGTGTATCTTTCGAGGAATACTGCAAGTCCTAAAATTTCATCACTTTTACCGGAAATTACGCAAGGAAAATCGGTTGACGTAACGAACGAACGATGCGATCGTTCGAATAGCCATTAATCAAAAGCACATAATTAAAAAAGATCTACGAACTAATTGGGAATTGTAGAATTTTTACGATATTCTCTTAACATTAAAATGTAAATATAATTTACGTAGTTCCGCGATCCAAACATTACGTACAGCGTCCAACTTCCTGTAGCGTCTATTTACATACACGCTTTACAGTTAATTACGGATTCTAAAAACTAATGATGTATTATCCGTTTGCAATTGCTTCTTCGTTCGACGAAAGAGAAAATAAATCGAATAGTAATTCGATCGGTGCCTCTCAAAAGGGAAAAATGGTGACAGTGTTTTTATATTATCGCTTCGTAACATTATATCTTGTTATCATGCTAATAATACCAAATACATATACATCGAGCGTGATCATTTAACCAAACAGAAACAAACTTCAAAATGTTCTAACGATTGATTTCTTTCTTCTCGATATTGCAGCTAGATTTATCGTGTGATACCGATGGAGTGAAAATATCCGACATGCCTGATTGGAAAAATGAGACGTCGCATGGCCAGCAAATGCAAGCGTCACGCAACCAGGACCATATGCAGCTGCAAAAACGCGAGCAGTTGCATCGCGACAAATTGCAACAGCAACGGGACCGCGACAGCGAACGAGAACATCTGCATCAGTTGCAGTATATCGGTAACTTGCTGTTAGACCCTCCGCCGGCAACCAACTTCCAAGGATACTCGCACGATGCATCTTGCACGCAATCCAATAAGAACAACAATATCGATGGTAAAAGTTCCTTTTTTTTTTTTTGCTATATTTTTATACGATCGTGTATATGATTATTTTGTCTTGATTTCTGGATAAATTTGTAGATCGACTGTTGGCCATTTTGTTTATGATAGACACGGTTGATGATCAAGTAACAATATGAAATAGTATGGTCAAGTAACATGAATATACAGAGATATCGTTTTGTAAATATAAGATATTTATCTCTTTTCAAATTGAGTCGACAAAAATGATAAATTATACAAAGATAAGATCGTAAACTTTTAGTTTCAACAAACAAGGATTATATTTTGACAATTTGATTTTCCAAATTACTAAAAGACTTACTTTATTTCCGTTTTATAATTATTATATAGCGACTGACCTTTTACGTAGATTGAATTACATTGTATCTTTTTTTTTTTTGTCTTTCTTTTTCTTGGACGTCCGAGCTGTAATAAAATTTCTTTTAATCGCCTGTTTGGTTGTTTCGAAACTAATGAGCGTGTACGTTTGTCGTTTGTCAATTGATAGTCCTCGTTGCGCTGTATATCGTATTTTCCTGTGATTTTATTTAAAACGGCAACGTATTTTGTATCTTTCCCTCACATCAGGAGACATGTCAATTTCGGATTTATTCGGTCTGGGCTTACCCCGGGGATCGTTAATAGGCAGCCAGTCAACAGCTGCATCTCCTGGTTGCCGTAATTATCAGTACCAAGGACGCAATCAGGCATCTTCTCAGCATTATCAGGTGACATTTCCTTCTATTTTATTATATTATGCATAAGCTTTTCCTCACCGTCTCGCGTGAAAAACGTTTCAGGTCTCATTTAGGTCAAGCAATTTCCTTATTTATATATCTTCAGTTATTTCTCCAGTAATTTTGTAACGACACCCGACAATTGTAAGAAGGTTTTTTTTTTTATTTTCGACAAGAATTAAATACAAACAATATATGGTAAAATTAAACAATAAACTAAAAAATTGCAAATTACTAAATTTTTGTTTATTAAATTCTCTGAAGGCCTTTAAACACCTATTTGCATTAATAAAATTTACTTTGTGTTTAAAGATTATGTTTAAAACAACCACCGAATACAAGCGACGATTTAATGACTTTCGTGATTACATTTTAATTATTCGAAAAGCTTGAATTCGTTGAAATGTTTTTCTTTCAATTTGTGTGAACGCCACATGTTAGATACGATAGTGAAAATCCCGAATATTGGAGTAGGCAGTATTCCGAAACGTCTGCCTGCTGCCAATGCAATAACCGGAACAATGATTATCCTCATTGGAGTGACTCCAACTGCATCTCGAGCTTCCTTTTCCATCGATTGCGCAGCTAATTTTTTTTCCACAATAGAGACTTCCTGGTTACCTGATGCATCGATTTTCAATATATTTTGTTGCAACGAATCCTTCCTAACATCAATTTGGAATAACGCAAATAATGATGGATTATATAGATATAATCAAGTGTGCGATGATAGAAAAATAAAATTCTGTGAAATTTTCAAGGAGCTAACTGCAAGGAGAAAGGCAAAACTATGACAATAAGTATTGTAACATACTGCGACAGTGCAATAGGATTTTTTCCACAGTGGAGAACGTCATTATTAACTATGAAGAGCATAGTTATTGATCATCAACTGCATCAAATAACGAATTATTTTCTTTTATAAAGTAACATAAATAATAACACACAATTATTGCAATCTATATTGCAGCGACAGTTAAATAGTACCCTTACACGCGGTGGAAGGGGTAAAAGCAAGAAAGACCCATACGAAAGTCGTGCCTTATCGACCAGACACTTTAATGGACATTTTATCAGGCTCTTCTCGACGCCTTTAACGTTATTACCTTCACCATTTACTGGATGCATTTGTACATAAAGGACCGACAGGACATCGAAATGCGCGTATTAGAGCCAACGTATAATGCGTTGGGCAAAATAAATTACGCATAGCCGCGCGTGTTAGTGCGACCCGGATTCCAGAGTAGCCAAGAATTTACAAGCTTGAGCCAAACGGCTCTATCACAGCCCATTCTTTATATTTTCTCTTTTCATTTTTCACTTGTAATTGCGTGCCTCGCTTTTGTTTTTTTTTTTTTATATTGTTATATTGTTTTTTAACACAGTTTAACAACAATGTTGCAGGATTCTCTTTGTTAAACGAAGCGCGAATCTTTCCTCATTGCTTACAACTAGTATATTTCTCTTAGCATGATCAAACGATGATTTTTGATTAAAATGTGTTTCAAGAATTTTTAATTGATGCTGTTATTAATATGCTGTTGAATGTAGAACGATGATAGGAACGGAATTTGCTCGAACTCGTCTATCTTGGACGTTCCAAGCTCTCCAAGTTCTATTACTACACCTGGCAGTCCTAGCACACCTGGAAGTCTGTACTCGAACCCTTACTCGTATTCATCTACGAACAGTAGTAATCAGACAACATCATCGCCAAAGAGTCGAGGATCCATGCAGAATGTGGGTTCACCCACATCGCCCATTCATTCTCCTTATTACGGAAGACCTATTCGTGGATCACCACCTTATAGGTATTGTTTAATTAATTTCTTACAATTGTACATAATTATAATGAAATGATTACCAAATCATTTTTTTCTAACAGTGATTGTAGCAGTCCCACTTTTGAATATCCTCACGTGATGGGATGTACTGGATCAAGATCGAATTCACCAGCGGATTCAGATACGAGTGGTATAAGTAGTGTAGATGGATCTCTGTCCGATATAATGGTATTTATTTTAAGTTATAGATCGTAATTATTTAAATTCATGAATGTTAGGAAGACAGAAATTGTTTCATTTTAGAATTGTTTATCATTAAACTCATCGTCACACGAATGTTGCCCGCAATCTTTGGGTTCATTGATGTCGCCGGAAGTGGATTTATGTACGAATAATAGAGCAACCGCATTTCAACGAATGGCAATGAAAAAGTATTTATCATCGCCCCATCAAAATTCATCGTCGACACATCATCATCATTCACATGGGCACAATCGCGGTCATCACTACGGATCAAATCAAAACGGCAGTTTCCTGAATTCTTTTATGCATGAGAAAAATTGTTGTTCCACTGGAAATCATATGATGGCTCTGAATTCACCTCCGATAAATATTTTAGACCCGCAGCTTTCACTCGAGCGCGTAGCGCGTTTTCATCGGAGTGCTGCTGGTAATCACTTAGTTATTGAAATACAGTTATTAGAAACGAAAAAAGAAATTGTGTCAGTATATTAGAAAATTATTGTTTTAGCACTTTGTGATCCAACTTGTACTTGGAGTGGCATATTGCCGCAACGTAATCAAAAACCATCAGGTTATTCATCTAAAGTATTCCTTGGTGGTGTACCTTGGGATATTACCGAATCCCTTTTAATTGCCACTTTTAAGCAGTTCGGTCAAATACGAGTAGAATGGCCAGGAAAAGATCAGTCTGCTACGCAGCCGAAAGGATATGTATATATTATATTTGAGTCTGAAAAACAGGTAGTTCGATATTTTTCACTGTATCTTTTTTTCCTAATTTATTCATTTTTAACGAGAAAGGATGTCTTGATGATTGTTTAAGGTGAGAACTTTATTGACTTGTTGTACACATGATTTTACCAATGGTGGTAGTTGGTATTACAAAATATCATCTAAACGTATGAAAGCAAAAGAGGTAAATATTATTTTTCTTTTAATCAAATTCGTTTGTACTTCTTCCTCAAATTCTTTTATAATGTTATAATATTCTTGTAATAATTTTACTATAGGTACAAGTAATTCCTTGGATTCTTGAAGACAGTAATTACGTAAAATCATCATCGCAAAAACTTGATCCTCACAAAACAGTATTTGTTGGTGCTCTTCATGGCATGCTAACTGCCACTGGTTTAGCAAAAATTATGGATGATCTGTTTCGTGGGGTTATTTATGCAGGTAGAAATAGACATATTTCAATTGAATGCATACTATTAAAATTAAAATTTAATTTCAGGGATTGATACTGACAAGCATAAGTATCCAATTGGATCTGGTCGTGTTACATTTAGTACAAAACATTCATACATGAAAGCAATTTCAGCTGCTTTTATAGAAATAAAAACTGCCAAATTTACAAAAAAGGTTTACATAATTCTAAAATGTTTATAGAATATTAAAAAAAAAATTATAATAAAAATCTATTGTTTTTAATAGGTGCAAGTTGATCCCTACTTAGAAGATTCTATGTGTTCTGGATGTTCTGTACAACAAGGACCCTATTTTTGTCGTGAAGTGGTACGAAAATAATTTCTTTTATTTTTTACATAAAGGATATTTTATTATTTTTATCCTATTTGCAGATGTGCTTTCGCTACTTCTGTCGTAGTTGCTGGCAATGGCAACATTCGATGGAATCAATGTGGCATCATAAGCCTTTAATGCGCAATTCCAAAACAAATCAAGTGGTCGGATTATCGCCAAATGTGAATTCCTGGCCTCGTGGAATGAATAATCCCACAATTTAAGTACAGTTACTAAGCTTTTCTTTCATGGTCATACATCCAATTTTTTTTTTTTTTTTTTGACTATTTCTTTTTGCGAGGACGTTGCGCTAGTTGACTTATTGACAGGGTGCAAACTTAGTTTTTATCGTAGAGCTGCGGACAGCTGGTTTGACGATATACATTGAAATACCGGATATACCAGCTGCTCCACAAATGCAACGATTTGTTTATTATCGTTACTCTCACGTACGTCCGAGACTAATTAATGGCGAAAAATCGTGTTTCATATAAAGTTCCTATTTCGAACGCGGTGGCAACCGTGTTCTCAACAAACAGTATTTTTATTTAGTATGTTTATTTAGGGACTGGTTCTCTTGTTGATCGTTTTATTGCGAAGAATATAGTTGTGCCATTAAGTAACACATCACATTATACGATAATTATGCGTTACGAGTGTGCATTTACATTGAATTCGTGTGGGTCCAATTGTGGCTTTTATAGTGACAATAATTTTTATACGATAAAATGGGAAGAAGCCACTCGATTGCTAAAGAAGAAGAGAAAGAAAGAAAAGGAATCAGTTCACAATGTTTAAAAATCCACAAAGATACGCCGCTATAATAACTTGTCGGCGAAAAATATTACGCTTAATCGTATTATTCGATGAGATTAGATTATTGTGGTATTCTAGCTGCAGGAGGAATTAAGAATTGAATTATTGTTATTTTTTGCGAAGAACGCATTTAATTTGAGTACTAATCAGAACCCAGGCTGTATACTGACACTTGTCGATAATATCGCCCGTCGTTGTAGTTTTATGTTACATTGTACAGTGTAAGGGGTATTGCCAAAATGGCAATTGCAATCATAATTTATATTCTTAGCCAAGGCGGTAAGCCTTTGTGAGCTTTCGTTTACAGGGACTGTTTAACTGTTGACGAAATGGAGAAGTACATGGTCTACGATTCTGGAGCGGATTGTAGTAAATTGATTCTGTTTTTATTTTTTGTTACAATATTATGTTATGTATTTTCTTTCAAGAAGATTTCGTAATATTACTTCTAATCGCGTTTCTGATGTTTTGATATAATTTTGTTGAGTGAATTAAAAATCATATTTTTGCAGATAGACTTCTATTGTCGTTCCTCTTTTTCTGTTTCATAATTTTGTTCCTTTTTCTTGTTTTATCATTCAAGAAAATGATTCCTTCAAATGAGAACCTTCTGCCCTTTTCAAATTTCTGGCCTTAAAAATAATATGTGCTTATGCAAACTGCTAGACACTAAATGTTAGTACATTATGAGAATTTGATAGATAGTATAAACAAAATCAAAGTAAAACAGATTATATTAATCATATTAATTTATATTTATTTATTTAATTTTGTTTATTAAGCTAATTTAAATTATATAATATTTTATTTAAATTGAGGACCCTTATATTAAACAATTAAAAATACTTATTCTTAAAAAAAAAAGAATTATAAGAAATCAGGAATAATTATTGGTAAAAATAGAGAGAATTAAAATTCAAAATTCGGAACTTAAAAATATTTCTGAAATCTGAAATTATACTAAAAGAATAAGACTATTTATAGTACAGTATGAAATGATGCTATTCAAATATTTCACATTTAATCTTTGATAATACAGTATGATTGATATTACATTCTTAATTTTAAACAATTATAGATCGTATATGTTGCTAATGCTAAATATTACAAGATAAAATTATAAATTTAAGATTTATATAATTTAAAATTCATATAATCAACTGCAAGATATACTACTATAGTACTGAATTATTTAAGAAATATTAAAAAGAAGGTTGAATTTATCAATTTCTAAATCATTAAAATTTCGCTTTAGTTTAAGAAAGTGGAACAAATACAAAAATACAAATATATCGTGTTACATCAAATGCAATTATCAAACAACATGGTTATTATATACATAAGAAAATACTCCTATGAAGTGCTTTAATACAATATAAAAAATTTATATATATATATATATATATATATATATATATATATATATATAT